TCTCTGGCTGGATCCAACGCTATTACCTACAATTAATCGATTTAGGCACAAACAATAGCAATCACATGACACAGAGAATAACGTAAGCGGACCTTTCCATCATCGGGAATGTTCAGCGCAGTGAGGAGAAGGGAGTAGCCTGTAAACACTCCGACTTCAATCGTCTTTTTTTGCGTTCATGAGCTTCAAGAGCAAGGCTATGAGCTGACCCACGTCAGGGGAAGCGGCGATGAAGTGCCTGAAATTAGGGCATTGAAAATTGAAATTCGATGAAATTGAAGTGATGAAATGAAGGACGGAAGGCAGAAGAAAAGGAGCAGTGGAAATTACAGTGGGTGGTTGTTGGTGGCATCCTCAACTCTCGGAGAGGCTCCGGCTCGCGCGGGGTAAACGCTGCTCTCCAGAATATACTGTGTCACGAGACATGATAATCATCGGGTGAAGAAGAAAGGAAGAAATTAAGTTGAAATAAAGAATGAAAATGGTGAGGAAATGATTGAACACACCTTCAGTAATCCATCACTCCTCAATATTGTCTGGTTGGGGATATGGACTGGCTTGCCTCCGTTGTCCATTGCGCTGCAGGGTATCAACTACAACAACCTACATCATCATTTATACATATTACAGAGTCCTCTCAGTCTGACACGAAGTGTGAAAGGAAGAAAAGCAACCTTTTTTTTTTCCTCTTTACAATGACTCAGGAATTGAAAGTTTTAACGGCATTAGTTGTTTAGTGCTATGTAATAATTAAACGAATCGAACATGGAGGGAGGAAAAAAAAAGATCCAAAGTTTTACTTAATTAATTTTAGAGAAATAAACAAGTGAAATAAAATAATGAACAATTGAAATATGAAAGTTATAATATTAATTTAAATAAGAGCTAATTTTATTATTATTTTAAAAATTTAATATTAAATTAATATTTTAAACTGGAGTAAAATTTTAAAAATTTAAAAATTTTAAATTTAAATAAATATGGTTAAAATTTTTTTATTAAAATTTCCCTAAAGTTTTCTTATTGAAAGAATATAATGCATCGTGGAATCGTAGGGACAAGGGAGTACTTGTAGGCCACCAGCCTCACTGCCTGTGTGTCCTTTGGATATTTTTAGTCCGTGGCGTCACATGAAAATACTTCTTTAATCTTTAATATAGAGTGAAGTTACGCACTTATTAAAAAAATATTAGTTATAATTTTAAAAGTATAACAAATATATAATTTTTAAATTTTACCTTTCTTCACAAACAATAACTAAAATATTATTTTTTAAAAATTCAAATAATAATGAATAAATAAGGAGTAAAATTTAAAAAATGAACAACTCTAATTTTATCTTATATTAAGAATAAAAAAATTTTAAATTTTGTCTTACCAGAGGGAGTATTTGTGAAGAGATGATGACTAATAGATACCAGACTCATATAGAGGCAAAGGGAGAAATTTTCAATATTTCATCTTATTTTATTTATAAGTTACGTTTAATATTTTTATCAAAATAAAAAATTAAATTTAATTAATTATGTCTAAACATTAATAAATTTTTAATTTTACTTTATTAAATATATATAATTTAAAAAATACCTGATAAAAATTGATAAAATAATTATTGAAATACTCTATAAATATAATTAAAATAAATACTCTCTCTTAATAAATTGGAGGAGAGGAGTATTCAGTTTGGAATTTTTGACCACATAAAAGACATAAGCCAAAATTCAATAATGGTGGGCTATCTTTTTGAAATTTTCAAGTTGTTAGCCCGAAAAAAAAAAAAATAAAGAAAGAAATTTTCAAGTTGGCTGACGTTTATCAGCGCCGGCGTTCAAGCTTGAGATATTTATGTTGCTCTAGAGGCTAGAGTCAGTCTTTTCAGGGGGCGACGATAATTTTTTATATAAATGATTAAAAATAGATAGCCATTCTAATATACTACTCTTTTTTTTAATACAAAATCATGAATGATCATATAAAATTAAGTCAAATTAAATATATTAGAGTGTGATATTTAAGCGGAGGATCTTTAAAAATTAAAATGTCAATATTATCATTCAAAACTTGAAGAGCCAGCCAATCAATATAATTATTAAATTTTTTAATATATAATTAAAATTGATAACTCAATCTTTTATGATAAAGGCTTTTATTTTGTTTATAGTTTTGTTGAAGGGTGGTTGGAATTGTGATAAGATTGAATAAGCGATAAAGTTTCAATGAAATTAAAATAAATATTGACATAGGTAAATTTATAATTTCAACAAAGAAAAAGACTTTCAAGGATGGTGAGAAACTCGGTAGTAATACTGAAATAATGATCAAAATATTTAATAAAACTTTTTATTCGATTACCTCTATCATCATGGATAAAGCTATCACATATGGCAGGTATAATATAGGGAGAGTGTGTTTGAGTGGGTTATCCTTGCCTACGGAGATGGATTAGGTTAGGTGTGAAAAAAAATAGAAGAAATAAAACAAAACGTCAATTTCGCTATAATTCTCATTGGTCCAGAAGGCCACAAAGGAGAAATATCCGTTTGTTAATAATAATAAAAAAAGGCCAGAAGAGAAAACATGTTTCTAGGATTGTGATTTGTCTTTGGGTAAAAAAAAAAAAGGATTGTAGGTTGTCGACAGTAAATTTTCAGTCTCAAATTTAACTAAATTCTTATCTTGCGCGCTAACTATATTGTGATTCAAAGCTTGTGCACCAATGGAAGTTATAGTTTCATTTAAAAAATTTGAATGGGAAATTAAAAAAAATTAAAAATTATTTTAAATGTAAAATGATTTTTATATTTTTATTTGAAAAATAAAAACTGTTGAATACTAATTACCAAAAAAAAAACTAAGAGAATATTGGCCCAATAGCTGTAAAAAATAGAATTTTTAAAAATTATGGGCAAGATTTTCAAATATTTTAAAATATGGTCTATTTACAAAATCAATTGGAGATGATTTTCTTTTCTTTTTTTTTTTTTCATAGAACAAATGTATAAAACACATAATAATAACTCCCGCGTGAATTGAGTTGGGAATGTACCTGTGTAACCAAATGATTTTAAAATTTAACTAAATTATTTAAGTTCAATTAACTGAATCAATTCCTTGCATACACAACCTTCTTATTTTTCTCCTTTTACAATCATTTCTTTCCTTTCTTGCTCCATAAGAATCATTGTCAAATATTTCTCAACAACATTATCCAATACTTGCAGGATTGATCATCAAATTCTGGTTTTTGAAGGTTAACAGTCAGCCAAGATATATTATCTATCGTTCATCATTTTCATGTTTCTTAATAATATCTTTACTAAATAGTTGTTCATTTGTTCATAATCTTTAACTTTTTGTCATTAATTATGAAACTTTATTTGAATTATTACCTGAAAACACAATTTATTCTCATATCGGCATAATTTTTTTTAATTTAGGTATTTGATTCTTTGTAATAAACTAAGAGTGTAGAATTTTTTGTGGACTATGTTTGATCCGTTTTGAACAATTAATTATGTATTTTTTGCATTACTAATATGCAATACTATATCATTGATATACTATTGTATATCAATAACAAATAAGTTTATTTGATTGTCTGGCTATATTGATCTACGATTGTATATCAGTGATGTACTATTGTAAGTTACTGATATATAAGACATATCAATGAAAACTTACTAACACTATTTTATCTTGTAATTATAGGGATGCTTAATCTTATCATTTCTTATAATGGAAAATGAGATTTGAACAATGTTATGTTGATGATTCATACCTTGAAGTGTTTGTAAGCAATTTTTGTTTCACAAATTTACTAATGATAAGACTTGTTGCTAGCCTATAATCACCACACACAATATCAATAACATAAGTATGATCTCTAACATACTATCTAATGACCCAAACCCAATAGAAGAAATCATTGAGACCTGCTCATACCATTTACAACCATCAGCACTACAAGCAACAAGCCTTTGACCATTTGATTTGAGAGCCTTGTATTCAAAATTCATCTTTATACTTAAGAATTGTAAAACTTTTGATCATCCAATTTGCTAAAACACACATCTCCCTCCTTAATCTCCTTCATTTGCAAAAGTTCAATGACTCCACTACAATGCTTATTATTAGTAAATGTAGAAGAACATGAAGTTAAGGAACTAGCTCATTCATGACAAAGTTCAAACACATCTTGTATGGATAAAGATCCATTAAAAATAAGGACAATCAATGAAAAATTTAAAGAGATTAGAATTGCTCAATGAATTAAAATATCATATCAAATCATTGTCATTCTTGACCTCTAAAATGTTATATATTAAAGTCCTAATATCAAGAGAAACCATCAATTTAAGCTTATAACTTGCATTCAACTGCAATCTCTCGTAAGCAATTTCTATGACATTAAGAAATGAAATTGTATTTTTGACAAGCACTTCAAAATATGAATCATGAACATAATGATTGTTCGATCTCATTTTCCATTATAAAAAATAATAAGATTAAACATCTTCATATTTATAAGATAAAGTGGTATTTATAAGTTTTTACTAATATGACTTTTATATCAATGATATGCTATACTATTATAGATTAATATAACCAAATAATCATATATAAACTTATTTATCAAATGTATATCAATAGATATAGTATTGTAAATTAATAACACAAAAAACACAATTATTTATCTAAAACAAATCAAACACAGTTCGTAAAAAATTTTAAACTCTTAGCTTATCACATATAATCAAATACCTAAACTAATAAAATAAAAAATCATAAACAAATTAAGTCTTCATCATTTACTCTACTCTCTTACATGAAATTTGCAAAAATCAAAGCATTATGATTTTAAAATAGTAGTTTTGTCAATTAAATTTTAAATAAATATTAAAAGCTATTATTTAAATTTGAGAAACGTTGGACTATTATTTTTATTTGATCATATAATACGAGCTAAATTTGCAAAACTCCCAAAAACATAACCTTTTAGGAAAACATTAAAACAAACAGATACTACTACTAATTTAAATAACAATAACAATAATATCATCAACATTATATCATTTTTCCTTTTTTTTGGCCCTCTCCCACTCATCTTTGGGATTTGAGTATCAGACGTAGCCTGCATCAGTTAAACCATCTGAAAAAGTAACAAAGGTTGGATACAGCTGACAAAACTGTGGTGTACATGGTAGCTGCAGGCTCTCACAGGTCCCTGAAATTTCGCACTATCTTTTGCTTATCAAGGAGCAATTTAGCAAGCCCTAAAAAAAATATCCTCCTATGCGCCGCAAGGAAATACCAAGAGAGCCAATGCGGCATCCAACATAGAGCCACCATGATTGCAGGCTTTACCAAATTATACAGACTCATCGCTCCGTATCTTGGGAGTCTGAATCAACTGGATCATCTATCTCACTCTCACCACCTGAACCATCCTTACTTATTGAAGTGCCAGCACTAACTGGCCTTGGATCTGGAAGGAGCTCATACTTGACAGATTTAATCTTCCTTTCAGTACTTTTACCTTTTCGTTTTCGCTTGCCAACATCAGTTACCTTCATAGTTTTTGCAGCAGCTACAAATGCAGCACTTGCCAGTTTGTTTTGCTCTTCCTCCTCGCTTGTATTTTCCTCCCCCATTGTCTTGTCAACATAAAAAAGGTCATCATCCGCTATCTTGCCCTCCAAGTTAGCTTCCAGATGCCCTGCCTGGGATAAATCAAGACCTAACTTGGCGCGACTTCTTAAAAAATCATCTCCAAAAACTTCAATCCCTTTATCTTCTAGGCTCGAAAGCCATTCTAGAGAATCAATCAAATACAAAGAAAAATGTCAGCTATAATTTATGGACCAACTTGTCTGCAATCCTAGATAAAGTAAATACTGGAGCAACTTACTCAAAACAGCACTGTGAGAGGATCCATTTATTCTACTTGCTTTATCCTCCAAATTGTGCTGGTTTTTAACCCATTTAACTATTTGCGAAGGTACACGGGAAGCAGAAAAGATCTTTCCATAGGAGAGTGCTCTGTTTTCATCCCCAGTGCCTCTGCAATAAGAGATGATTAGAAATTCCATTCTGAAAGTACAGCGAGAAAAATACAAACAAAATAATTGATACCACATACCTAAAATACTCTACCGCCACATGAGTAACAATCAATCTAGTCAAGGTTAGGCTCTGCATGAGCTTGGCGTTTTGGTAAAGGAAGGGGTATTCCACTAATAAAACAGCATCGAACAGAACTTTCCTCAACAGGACTTCATCTTCAGGTTTCTGCAGTGACATATTCCATAAGGGTTACTATGGCTAAAGTTCAAAACACACACACCAACCAACCATAAGAAGAGTACGGGAAAAAACCATGCCCATGACACTCCAATAGATGGAGAGCGTAAAGAAAAATAATAGCAAGAATTTAATCCAAAAACCTCTAGATGCAATTCCACACTAATTGCAAAGAGAATAACTAGAGATCAGGTGCATGCTCACCTCTGATGAGATTCATTTCAACAAGAACGTAATTGATTCGTTTCAACTTTCATGTTGAGGACATGAAACCATTACCAACAATGAATTAATTATCTTTCATTGATAACAAATAAGTTATTAATATTTAATTATTCTACCGAATTAATTATGCTATTCTTATTTATAAACAAAAGTCTAATCACTTAATCCTTCAGTTCCCTTTCCGTCTGTAGTTTTCATTTATTCTAAAATCTAAAATCGCACCCTAGGCCTAGTTTCAAAGAAAATCTCTGGCCAATCTGTTGAACAATATAGTTTAAGGTACAATATTGCGTTGGTTTGTCTGTTCAACAATAGGTTAAGGTACAAGGTCAAATACTTCAAGGATTAACGCATTTTACCAAAAGAAATTCTGAAATTTAAGAAGGGAAAAGGATTCTTACATTTCGCATGAACTCAACTCAAGGATGCATGAATATGAATACACTGATATGCACACAGAATGGCACAAAATTTCACTCTAAGAGCATTATTCGTTTTAGCTATCAAAGAAAGAACATAAAATGCTTAAGAAAAAAATTATATGGACGACATACTGACCAATATCGAGCTCAGAGGCAATGGCGTCGCCAGGGTTGTCCTCATGAGGATCTCTAGTTGACACAAGATAAATCCACATCAAACATGGAACAAGAAAATGATATCACGGTTGTTGGAGATGCATGAAATTAAATGATCAAGTTCATTTCATGAACATCCATCCATTAGCAGGTCAACCTTACTCAACAGTGAAAACAAAATAAAAACTAAAAATACAAAAACTACCCTAGGTCTAAAATTATACCAAGATGCAACTCAACAGGCCTACAAAAGAATTCATGCATTTAGTGTGACAATTGACGCTGGAGACTCAACAATACGTGCCACAGGTATTTAGGCCTGTCCAGTTTGCTAAAATATGCTTTTCAATTGGGTGCAGATATGCCTTACAGTCATACTTCCGTCACAGATAATCAAAAGTGCAAGGGAATTTAGACAAAAAAGAAAACAAACTTACTGACCGTAAAAACATGCATTCCGAAAGCTAGATATTGTGCTAACCGCCCAACTTTTCAAATTCTTTTCCAATTCATCCGTTAGCTTTGCCAAATGGAAACTGAAGCACATTTTCAACAAAAAGGCTTGAATAATAACCGCAGCAGCCAAGTAGCCAACGTCTAATACTCTCGTAGAAATCCAACGACAAACATCACTGCTTACAAGCGGCAAGAAAGATTCCCACTCTTCATTTGCACTTGCCCAGACATTAACCAAATCCGTGAAAGGGATAATCAAGTTCGGGCAAACAGAACCATGATCGTCGTCACAGTTCCTACAACAGCAAACACTTATATACCCAAGAATATTATCCAATAAAGACTTGGCCTCCTTCATTGCTTTCTTCTCTCTCTTAACACTTAATTCCCCAGCAAATAATTTCAGGATCACCCTGTGTACCTCAAATACGACTGGAACCAACAATGCGATGCATTTTGAGGCACAGACGAAGCCGAACATGCAGACAATAGCTGAAATAAGTCTTTTGCAATTAATATTCGATCCAAGGCATCACCTTCAGCAAAATCACGGCAACGAAAGCTAAGCGAAGCATAGACCCAGATCGCCTCAAAGGGTGCGTCAGCCTTAGCTTGCACTAACTGATAAAATATATCAACATAGAGAGATAAATTCGGGGCTTCTCGGCGAATTTCAGCTAAAAGGTCTTGGATTGATCGTTTCAGCTTGAGATCGTAGTTTGCTCCCACTAAAGGGACAGCATTAGATAAATTTATGAATTCTGTAGACTCCAACAGACCCGAAGCCATGCCGATCAACGATGGAAAACGATTCCGGTCCAGCTAGAGTGGCAGCCCCGCTCCGCCTACGATAGCTGACGGGGCGAGACTTTAGGGTTTAGCTCAACAGAGGTTTTAATCGCATCGTTTTCTGTTTAAAAAACGACAACCTGGAATATCGCGTATTGAGTTTAAACGACGATGCGCTGCATTACTTAATATTTTTTTATGGAAGTTGCGAATCTAATATTAGACGGCGCTACGTGTTTTCTTGCACCTTATTGGTTGAAACAGAGGGGCCCATCTTTTTAAGCTCTTCTCAACCAATCAGATTGCTGGAAATGTGAGTGTAAACGAAAACCCTATAAATTAGTTATTATTATTATTGTTAATTATTAATTAATCAATCAGATTACGCTCTTCTCTGTTTTTAAAGTGAAAGTTCATCTCTTAAATTGAATGATCTCCGAGGAATTGTTTCTCTGAGTTAACTACTATTCGGATTCAAACGATTTCAGAGGAAGATGAAGACATTACTTTATGTCGTGGTTGTATCACTCTTTATTTCAGCATGGGTGCCGCCAGCATGCTGCTCCAAGAAACCAGCAGGAAAAGCTAGGAGGGAAGACATCCCGTACATCAGATGCCAAGTCTGTGAAAAGCTTGCTAAGCAGTTGTATCATCAGGTTCAGAAAAAGCAAGCGGAGATCGCTCCGAAAAAGGTGCGCGTATATTTTTGTGGATTTCCTTTAAATCGTTTCGTTAGGTCCTGTTGAGGACTAGAAAGGTGGGCTTTAGTAGTTTCTGCAAAGTAATTGGTTGATTTGGGATGCTAGATATTGGAGTTCCAGATCATTGAGATAGCTGAGAATATCTGCAATCTCAAAAAAGCGGAAGCTGATTGGATATTGCAGATAGATATTGTAGAAAATGAAGATAAATTGGAGGTACGAAGATTGGTGAACTTCACAGTTTTGTAAACGTTTTACAGAATTATTTTATAAGTTGTGGTGTCCATGCTTCTGTTTATTTTTCTTGTCTATCTTTATGGATTTTTGTTGTTTCTTTGGTATTCGGATGGAGTAACAGTTAAATGTGAGAAGAGCTTGTTGCATTGACTTAGTATTGATACAATAAATCATTTTATCCGACTTTTTTCTTGTCAGCTGGTGGAACAAGACTCTGAAGGACAATGTAATTCTGAATGCAAGACAATAGAGCAGGCTTGTCAGGAGGTATGGCACTGTTCCTACCTTATACTCGATGTTTTCGTTTGTTGCCCGTGAAATAGATCTTCTCGTAGATTCTGAAATGTAAACATTTTTTTGGGAGACAATGAGCGACGCAGAGTCTTATTTAACGTATGATTTTTTAATATCTTTTATCGATGAAGAATTCAATGGTGACACATGACCAATCACCGATTGTTATAATCTGGATTCTGTTCCCTCTGCTGCTTCTATCTACTCCTGCATATGTAATATAACAACCTTACGGCACTCAATGAATCTTGGTTCAGGGATATTTTACGAGGACTTGATAACTTGGAATTTGCAGGTAATAGGATATTCTGATACAGATGTTGCTGAATATCTATACAAATCCAAGCCTGACGTTGACTTATTGCTCAAATATTTCTGTAAAGACCTTACTAAGGCATGCAGCACCAAACCACCCCCTGTACCTAAGGTAACTTCATTCTGAAGCTGATACTTCCACTATATGTTTATAACCTATAACCATCATGTAACTTTTCTTATTCTTTATTTTTGAAATATTTTAGTTGATATTGATGGATAGCTTTCATGGGTTGATAAGCCCCTCTGATCGTGGTCTGAATTAATTTGAGTATCTTCAGTATTATTGAGTCTGTTTGCTGCTGCTTTATGGTAACCAGCAACCGTGCTGGTCTTTTGCTTTATATAATTAGTAATTGTTCAGAATGAGAATAGGTGATGGTGTTCTAAGTACTCCATCTTAGCACGGTAAAGGATAAGTCATTCTAATTACTTCTGATAGTAAAACATTTTGCCAGTTTAATACATCCATTTCTTCATTGTCTTTCAAATTTTCAATAACATTGCTAGAATCCATCAATCCCCAAACCTTGATTATTGACTAAATAAATTAAGGCCTAACTTTTTTATTGGCTCTGGAGCAAACAATAATTTACCGAATTGGCTTACTCCAGAAATTCCTAGTGTTCTTTTCTTTTTCTTACAATTTGATATGTTCATATATCTATACATTTGGAGTCCCTGATGTAACTTAGCAAGGTCTTGATGCAATGACATTCAAACTTAGTTTGTGCTTAACATTACTGTTTTAGTACTCATCAGAAGATCTTTTTTGTATTGCAGGACAGGGCTCCTGGAGAACCTTTTGTTCCAAAGTCAGCTAAAGAGGCTGAAATGGACAGGCTTTTGAAATCTATGGAGGTAGTTAGTTTCTTTCTCTTCTATTTTTATCTTACGAGGAAAAGATTAATTAACATGAGCAAAACCTAAGAACCACATTAAACTTCTCACCACCTGAATCACAGCCTAGGTGGGGATTCATCCTTACAAATATACAATACTTGCTGCAGTCTTTTATTGGTTGCATTTGCGCTTGTACTGTATTTAATTCTGCATCAGGGGATGCCCGGAGCCCCTGGCATGAAAATGTACTCCAGGGAGGATTTAATGAACATGAAGAATTTTGGTGAAGATGGTGTTGATGAAGATGAGGATGATGATGATGATGAGGCTGGCTTCCCTTCAAAATTGGTATTCAAGAGAATCTCATATATTCCCAAGTGGATTCAAGTCCTTTTAGAATAACTGAACAATGATGAAAATCCTCTTCCTGCAGGGAAAAGTTTTAAGGGAAAAAGAAAGCGGAAGTGACTGGAAACAGAAGCTAAGGAAAGGTATTTCAGACAGTGCTATGACACTGAAGCAACATGCCGACAGAGTCTCCAATCATTTACGTCAATGGTGGAGGGGAAAGAAGGCAGGAACTTCAAAAAAGGGACAGAAGACAGGAAAGTCAGAACTTTAGAGCATCAAAATTTCACACTGCATCACTTGATTGCTTAAGTTCTTCAATCGTTTCTTGATTGAAGGTCCCTCTGCCCAAGCTTGGCAGGAAGAAGAATTATAAGGGAAGGGATTTAATTCTACGAGATTTACACATCTAATCATGGATTTGGGACCTTCATGTACTTTTGTGTGACAAGGCTGTCCGTAAGAATTTAAGATGGTGGTTTGTCTGCCACTTCACCTCTCCCAAATTGGGTATAAACACTTGCAATACGTCCGATGTGTTTTTCATTTTCGGAATAGTAGCACTTTTTTCTAAAATTTCCTTCATGCGATGCTTGCAACAAGGAGATTATACGTCCTCCCTTAAAAATTTACAGTTATTGTACCATATACCTAACGTTAGCTGGATAGTGGATAGGATCGTTATCGCCTGCTTAGGAGGGTTCATAACGTGAAAAATCGAACCATGAAACCCAAGAGCTTGAAGTTTCTATTTCATCTGGAAATTCCAGGCTAAAGACAGCAGAAATGAGTTAGACTTTTGAATGGTTAAGAGGCAAACCTTACTAAAAGTGGGGGAAATAATAGAATGATAAAAAAATTCATCATTACATTCAGAAGCATTCGTGAGAAACTAAGAATAAACTCCAGCAAAATTGAAAACAAGTCACAGGACTTACAACAGCTTCCTCTAGAAATGGTTATAAGGGAAGCAATTGTATTCAACACTCCGCCAGCCCACTAATATCCCTGGTTTATTGGGATTGCATTAGGAGAATATCAATAACTTAAAAAACAGGCTCAGCGCATCTTGTAACACTGAACTCTTGAAACCACGCATCGTCGACCATTTAATGAATACTTGAGCATTATGTCCACATCTCGAGGGTTTTTGTTATTTTGTGCCACGGTCATGCTCCCTGCTATGGCCTCTCCCTCACATATGGTCAAAACATCTTCTAGGTAAAGCACTGTTTGCTTCCAATGAGTCGCACGGGATCTTGGCCCTGCAAAAGTAAATCCACAGCACATGTGAACGAATTATCGACATGATTGGCCTATCCTCAAACTCAAAAGAAAGTAAATCTAACTACTCAAAATTAAATTATATGTGCTTGCTAATTCTTAAAACATGAAATAAGACCAATCGAGCCCAAAAGTTTTCAGTAAATTTTCTTAGAAGGGGCATGTTTCAGAAGAGAATGATTTTATACAGTCTAGTTCATAGCAACTTCAAAAAACAGCGAATAACTTTTTTCTGGATTCGCTTTTTCTTCTTTCTCCCATTGTTATCTTCTTGTGACAGCCAAACCTTCGTTATAACTTGGAAACTAGGATCGAATGAATTACAACAAAATATTTACACCAATGAACGAGCACACGTCATAACGTTGTTCTCTCCATTCAAGTCCCCCCAACCAAAAGAACAAAACCAAAAAAATAAATCAAGAGGACATAGCTGAAGAAGAAACAAACCTGTAGAGAAGCCCATCAATTTATGACACCTGGTAAATGATACGTCAAAATATGCCACAAGAGCATGAATATAATCATCACGTTCAGCTACAAGCTTAAAAGGTGCTGTGAAGGACGCATCTCCAGGTACCATTTTAGAGATATCCATTGTCTGAACAAAGACGAGCAAATCAGTTACGTCACTTGAAGAAAACAGGAAATTCTTGGATCAACTCGGGATATAAAACGCATGCTAACTTTAAGCATTCAAGGGATACTAAATTTAAGAAAATTCAAATAATCTATAATCGCACACCTTGAGTAGCTGGCAATTTGTAACAATCTGATTTTTGTCAACTGTGTCAACAAGAGGCTCCATAATTGCTTGCTTCTTAATGCAGTTCATGTCAAAACCATATACGTTATTCCAAACTGCCATAGAAAGAGAAAGTGCAGTGTAATTTAAAGGAACACAAGTTAATCAAGGGATATAATTCCATAGCGAAATTCATCATATTATACTAGGGATTTGAAGTTTATAAGCATCAACCAAAACAGCAATGGACATCAATTTATTAGTCCCAGACGTGGGAAAAATGTTGTCATTTCCATTGCAAACATAATTCTAGAAAATATGTCTATATTAATTTATAAAAAAAAAATCATATACTTCAATATAGCAAGAGGTAAGTAATAAGCCACTCAGACTAATCCTATGGTGATAGGTTCAACCCTCCGAGCCATCACGTATCTATAAAATCAAGAGGTAAACAACTCACACTCAATTTTATCTTCTTTGTAGTCCGCATCTTCAATTGCTGTAAGATAGAGAGACGCTTTATCTGGTAGCACAACTCCGTCATTCACCTAGGCCAAAACAAGAAAAAACAGATTATCAAAATAATCCCTACAATTTACACCCTTATCAAGTAATTGAAGTCTATTCTCCCTATCTAAACCAGCGTTCAAATATTCTTGAAATGTTATCGTATGTTGCAATGGAAGGAAGTAAATGAATATCAACATGACATGTCAAGTGATGCAAATCAACATATCTTGGCAACCGCTAAAGCCTGCACAACTTAATTTGTATAATATTCCAAAAGGATCAATGGTGGCCACCACATGTTCTCTAGTTGAAAGAGTTTTTAAAAAGAGCGTGTGAGATATGTCATACAACCAGAATGTTAAGCATCACAACTCATTTCAAACAATACATTGATTATGCCTAATGAACAAATATAAAATTGATAAAAGACCGGAACTAAGCAAGGGCAGAAAATCACATCATTTCAGTTGGAATGCCACAGTTCAGAGCTACACACATATTTCAGAATGCTAGAGTTGAGTAGAATCAGATTAATATTTTACAACCTAACAAAAAAAGGGTATAACTATTAGAAGCTGCGACCAAGAGTCCAAGACCAATTCATTCTTGTATAAGCAATAAATGATCAAATAAAATGCCAACTAGTGAAAAGATTGTATGACTTACAAGCCACTTGTCACGTGCATAGAGGACAGTATTCAGCATATTCTCAAACAACAAGAAGTATCCCATCCATTCTGAAATGATGATGTCAACTTTAGCAACAGGAAGTTCTATTTCTTCAACCTTTCCCTTCAAAACTGTTATAACTGTAAAAGCAAAACAAAATTACAGTCAGTGACACTGGAAATTAAATTACCTGCAAAAAGGAAATAAACGGGTACAAAATAAAATGGCATCACCATTAGAGTACCCATTAGTTTCAACTATCTCCTTCGCCATGTCAGCCATGTCAGAGCACTCAACCTGAGTATCCAAAGTTATAAACACTGTAATTTAAAATCCAGTAGGATAATATTATAAACATGCAATCCACAAAAAGTTTTGTGATTTAGAACACTGAAAGGAAGTAAGCAATATAGACACATACTGCATAGACATGTTCTGCCCCAGCTTTGGCACAAAAGAGAGATAAAATACCGGTTCCAGCACCCACATCAAGAACTACTTTATTTTTGAATAAAAACTTATTCTGATAAATCACATTTTGGTAAGTCTTAGTTCTCACTGTATCCTTCAACATTTCCTGCATGTAAAGTAGGTTAGAGAATAAAGTAAACACAGTGCTAGGCTACTGAGGTTTTTGGGAAATTAACCATGGCACAGTTAAACAACCAGCCCATTGAAGAAGCATAAGCATATCAATTGCCAAGAGAAAAGCCAGACAGCAATGAGAACAACGTAATATTTAAATTCAAAATATGAGCTTCAATTTACTCTATCACGCAGAAAAATTTACCGGGTAATACATCAGAGCATTGTTCTAGTACAGCCAGAAATACTCACTGGCAAAGAGTATAAGGGGCAAAAACTCTAGAACTCTATATTACATCCTCACTTAAGTTATGGACTGTCACACTGAAAATCTGTCCTATAGTCAACAACAACAACAACAACAACAAAAAGCCTTATCCCACTAAGTGAGGTCGGCTAGTCACAAAATTATAGATTTTGATATCTACCTATATAGAATACAAACAATTATTTTGCAGGCAGGATAATGCTCTAGTGCTTTGGTGCTTCAAGACACACCTAACTTTTAAAACAATAAAAAAGATACAGAATAGAATGACCTAGGAAAGTGAGTATGGTTTTAACTTAAAATAAATTCCTGTATATTATACAGTGAACACACGTGAAAAATAAATGGAGAATGAAATAGACATGGAGTGAAATTTTTATATTGAGATTGCATCAGACAATTATTCATGAAACATTAATGATCAAATCAGTTACTGGGGAGATTATTGATCTGCAGTTCCTCAGTGCAGCTGACAGGACAATACCTCGCCAGAGCAATTGACTTATAAAAAATGCTATCCATCAAATCTCAGATATTAACCGTTGGTAGTTGTGAAATATTTTAGAAGACATGCGAAGGAAAACTAACAAAAATAATTGAAGTACTATTCTCTTTCTGCCCATTAGATAAACTCCAAAAGTAGAAAAGAAAACAAAAAATGGATTGAACAAGAATAGGTAACGCCAGCGTGCATCCAAGGTGATGGACTTACTTCGTGAATTCCTGAAAACACAAGAAGAAAATAGTTATTTAAAATATGTATACCAATTGAAGTAAGGTAGTCTGCTTATATTTCAACAAACAAAATTTAAGTGCAAGCAATTTGCTTATTATTCAGCTCTTCAACAGCCGGCGTAAAGTTAACGAGAAAATCAAAACTACGGCTAGGATTTATATACAGAGAGATATCTAAATGATATAATCTTCGACTACCACGACCAGATTGCCTACCCACCAGCTCTTTCTAGTTCCAATATCAGAACACAAGACACGTAATAAAGGGAAATTTTCGAATAAGAAATCACCAAAGTGAGAGTAGGAATCAAAGTAATAATCGGCACTTGTTTTATCATCTGAACCAATAAAGACCATGGAAGTCTCGCCAGCTGAGCCGTCAACGGCTTTGTCGACGGAACCATCGAGCTCGCAAATGGATACGTCGTGGCTGGAGCTCACAGCAGCATCCTCAATGATTTCGTCTGCATCTTCGAAGCGACTATGGTGATTCATTTTACTGATGCCGCCGCCGCTTGAGCTCCGACTGTTGCCCTCTCGGCGACTGATTCACGGAATAAATTCGCTAAACTAAATTAAAAAATGGGCGGCAACAAAATTAGGGTTTTTATTTCGGGGGGTGCTTTACCGTTTTAGGTTCTGCGTTGCATGGACCCTCGACGAAACTAAATAATTTTAAATTGCTTTCACTTTTGCCCTTTTTTGGTCTCAGTGAAATTCTTTTTTTTTAAAAAAAATACCGTAAATAATAAAATCAACAAAATAAGTTGTACTCTCTTCTGTCCTATTTATAAATCATTTTTACCAACTTTATCAATACCAATATAATAAAAATATAAAAAATAAAAGTGAGTAAAATTTCAAACATAACCCTCAAATAAAAAATAAAACTTAAGTCAATCATATAATATTATTTTTTCTGTTTTTTTCTCTTTTACTTTTTAAGAATAATTTAAAAATTTTAATTTAAAATAAAATAATCTCATCAATAAATGACTTATAAAATAAATTAAATTATGCTATATTGGACCGGTGGAGTATTTTTAGGATTCATCATCAATGATGTAATTCGTTATCATATTTGGACATGGGGCTGTGCAAAAGTCTCTTGGTCTCGTTCGGTCACGTCCGACCCATGAAAATTCGATCCTGTCCAATCCTGTAAAATACTGGTCCTATAGGACCAAAAAGACAAGATTGATTTTTCGGGTAAAACCAGACTAGAGACCAAGCATCTGGACTAAGTGGTCCGGTTTGGTCCTATATAATTATTTTAATATAATTAAAATTAATTTATAAATTAGTAATTAATAAGCCTTAGAAAAAAAAGTCTTAATCCTGCCTTGCACTTTACACTCTGATCGAAAAAAAAACCTCAACACTGTTACTCAACAGTACTTAGCGTATGAGCCACTTACTCAACTTTGCTCTCATTCTTAATTTCTTCAGTGCGCCAAAGCCCTAGCCCTCGCCTTGCACTTTGCACTCTGATCTTGATATGTTCGAACTTTGAAGGAACATGTCTGTGGGTTGATTTTTATTACTTCTGTTCTTGCTGATTTTTTTTCTCTGGTCTATTTTCGGTCTTTCCTTTAATTTTTTATTGAAGTTATGTATTTAAATCATTTGGAGTTTGGACTGTAACTAAAATATTATTTTCTTAGTGTTATAAATTATTATGGATTTATTATGATTATAAGTGTTTTTATTATCTTAATTGAGTTTGTTAAGTTGAAATAGATTATTGGTCATCATAGAGAAAAAAAAAGGCCAAGTGAGTATTGGACTAACAGGACTAGTCTCCCAGTCCTATGGACCAAGTCCAGTCTGTAACATTCTAATATAAATTTTAATAGTTAATTTGGGTTAATAGAAAATTAAAAAAAATAATTTAAAAAAAAATAAAAAAAATAATAAAATAAATATTAAATTATTATTTAATAATAAAAAAAAGGTGTAAAAACAAGAAAGAAAGGAAGAAAACGTGAACGCAGCCGCCGCCTCAACAGTAAAATATAATAATAATAAAAAAAAAGAAGAAGAAAGAAAGAAGAGAGAGAAAATAATAAAAAAATGTGTGGGACTCACTGAATTTTATTAAAAACTCACCTTCCTTCATTTCCTCATTCATTCCTGCGCGCGAGCTGAGGCGGAGAGAACGCGAGTCACCGGTGCGAAATATCTAAATTTTTAATGTAAGAGTTTTTAATAGGATATTTAGGGTGTGATTTTAAGCTTTTCAAGACTAAGTAAGTGTTCTAAAATTTTTTCTTAGTCATCCTTTTTCTTTGGTTTCTGAGTTTGTAGTGGTAGAAAATTTAAGATCTGGAAGAGGGATGAATTTATGTTGAATAAATATAATTTTTGAGGTTGTCAGTAGTATAATAAATGTTCTAGAGTATAAATTTATTGATGATCTTTGAATTTGTGGCTTATGGATCAACTTCTAGACTAGATCTGAAAATATATGTTGATTTATTGAGGTTTAGATGATTATTTGGGATGAAAAATGAATTATTATGGTTATAGGATTATGATTCTAAACTAGAGACTCAATTTTAATTTTTGGGTATTTTAGGTACGAATTTATAAAATAAAAAAAAATTTGATAATAGAAATTAGTTTAAAATTTGATTTTAAATTATTAATGTTTATTAATAATTAAAAGAGGAGTTAAAAATTATACTTAATAGTATTAACTATAGATTTGTATTAAGATTGAGATTAGGAATTATGTTATATTTTAATTCTATTATTAGAATTATTTTATTAGTTTCAAAAATTGAAACTAATATTTATAAATAATATGTTATTTGTAGATTGTATTACTGGTGAAGATTGTGGTGAGAGAGAAATTTTAAGGAATAATTTATTGAAAAAGCCACAAGGTAACCATGCTTTTAATTTATGATTAGTGTTACTTCATGTTAATTGGGTGATTATTGAGAAAATTATAAATTTTGCAATATTATATAATTGTGCAATATTATTATAAATTTATTTGATTATTGTGGGAGGTGTTGGGAGACTTGCTATTGTTGTTGTATTTATGTGCCACGTGGTATTCCCCTATTGGAGCTCAATAGGTGGTTTGTAAGGGCTCGGGCTAATCTACCTTTGGCCGGGTAATTTAGCACCGAGTGAGGGCTACGGCTCGAGGTTAATGGAGGGATATAAGGATGGTTGTTTGTGTGTATTGTAATATTTCTTATATTTGTTGGAATTATATTATTTTTAATTCTCACTTAGTAAGCACACACTTAACTGTTTGTATACACTATCATAAATTGGCTTTGGTTACTGGGACTTTTGAGTCTCATTATGTGGTTAACAATTTTCAGGAGAAGAGCCACGAGTGACACGTGGAGGAGTCCCAGAGGCTTAGTGGTATAGATCCACTGTCTCTTTTGGGTATTTAATTTATGATTTATAATGTGTTATATTGCCAATATTAGGGCTTTTTGTTTATTGTCAATTATATGAATATATAAATGTAATCATGCCTTTCAAACTATTTCTATTTTTAGTACAATTTGGATGACTGTAATTTTAATATTTGGTTTACTTTGAATTGGTTAAAATGGCATGATTATAAGGCCAAATAACTGGCTTGTGTTGAAAATTGATTAAATTGCTTATTTTACTTTTTAGGAGTATAAGGATGGACAAATGTGATTTAGTTTACTTGTTGGGAGTATAAGGATGGACAAATGTGATTTAGCCTAATGGCATGTGGGAGGTAAAAATTTATCTGAAATGTTATAGTGTGTAAGTTGAAGCCAATTATAAAATATTTTATATCGAAATTATTGATATAAAAATATGTTGGGTGGCTGTAACTCAACTATGGTTGAGTTAAATTATATAAAAAAAAAATTTTGGTGTGTTACACAGTCTTGTTAATCTCTGAGTTTTCACAGGACCAGACGGGACTACGGGTTACATAATCCAGTCCTTTTCATGAAAAGGACCAGACTCTGGGTTAGGTTAAAGTCCAGTCCCGTCCAGTCTTTTGTGCAGCCCTATTTGGACACTGTGTGAATGCAAAGAACATCCTCATTTGGTCAGCAATAATCCTTCTTTGACCGAAATTTGTCGACAATAATGAGCGACACCATATTTATATATATACTGTATAAAAATAACTTATTTACAAAAATATATAAAAATAATAGTAATTGTTTTTATAGAAAAAGGCCATAATGACCCAGAAACAAATACTAATCAAAACTACTACCTGGCCCAATGTCTGCAAGCATACTGGACAAGACATGTTTATCCACCTCCAACTTAAAGCTAAAGTTAGAGAGTTCATTTGCAGTCTATAAGGGTTCCAAGTTTATTTTTGGTTTGTCCAAAATATTCCCACAGCCAATAACAATAAGACTAATCTCTCAAAAAATCTAAACATCATTTAAGGCATTATTCTTTTCCAAATAATTTTTTTTATATACATATTCAAAAATCAAACTCTAGAATGATACTTAAGGGGCCCAAACTGTTACCATCTATGCCACATCCACTTGATAGGTTCTGTAGTTGAATTCATATTAATATATAAAAGATTTTAAAGAAAAAACTATTTTTAATGAGGTCCCACAATATTTGAATATACCATGCTTAAATAGTTGTATAAATTAATATATATCTCTCTGTCCTCCCTACATTCTTGGGGCAAGCAAGGTAGACAGGCCCAGATAATTAACTGATCAAGTTCATTGAGTTTTGGGTCACATAGAAATTTACTCAAATTTATGGCCTAATTCACATAATCATGTGCACATCAAGCATTGTTAGGCTCAGATATTTGAAACTCAACATTCTCTAAAAGCAAGCACCCTTACAAGTTTACTCTTTTAGTTTTAATTATAAGTCACTTCTAATATATTCTATTAAAATTAAAAAAAGTTTGAGTTTTATTAATTCTATCTTAAAATTTAATAAGTTTTCACCCATATTCCTAATAAGGACAAAAATATTAGTTTTAATAATTTTTCCCATCATTTAATAAGGGCAATAAAGTAAATATTGATATATAAAATAGTAAAGTGTCATAAATTTTCATGATAAGTCAATTTTTGAAGAGTATTAGCCTTCATTTGTATTGGTGTTGTTGTCCTTCGCTATGAGTTCAAATCCACCTCAAATCTATTTTCACATATCCACGTGGTAGTTCCCGTAAATTGACGTTTCAGACTCATTAACCATTAGACCATGATGAAATTTGATCAACAAGCATGGAACATCCAATGTATCATTTTCAATGGTTAATCATTGATTTGTTGCCTAGTGTGAGAGTTATTCTGTTCATACTATAGTCTCTAGTTTGGGTGTTTTTATCCTTCATTCTCTTTTATAAGCTTCTTTCCTTAAAAATGGAACATTTAGAAGTTGCTTAATTTATCTCAATTCTTTGAATGACTGCAATTATTGTCTTTAGTTAGAAAATGTGATCTTGCTCTGTTTACTTTAGGATCTTCTTTGATTGAACTTGAAACTTTACTGCGCACACTCATCTCTAGTTTCTCTAACCCATCTGCGACCTTATATACTCTTACTAAAGCCGATAATATAGGTTGGGCCTATGGGCTTAACCTGCCAACT